AAAATCAAGGAAAGAATGAGCAAAAATGCATAGATTAAGCTTACAACAAAATCAGGTGATATCTATTCCATGAATAAATTACCTGTGAAAGATTAATTTTTGATTGTTTGAATACTTTTTGGTTGATTGATCAGTGTTTCTTGAATAGCATAGTTTATAACTTAAATATAGTTGATAATTATTCTTGAATTATGTTCTGAATATAAATTAATTTTGTGAATATACATAATTTGAATTATTGATATTTTGATGATTTTGTTTGAACAATAGTTGTTGCAATAAGATTTGCATAACATTTCATACATATGTACATTCAAAACCAATAGCAATTTTGCACTGAGCTTAATGCTTCTTAAAAGATTTCTTGTTTTTGATTTAGATAAAAAAAATCTTTATTTTTTAAGATTACCAAGGTCAAGAATTGACCGCTCAATTTTAAAGAATTGATTTCTTTTCAAATACAAATAGTTTTTGAAATCCTTTAGGAAGTCAAAGAATCAATTCTCAAGAAGAACAACAAAACTCTTAAAAAGTTAAGGCACAAAGAATCAATTCCAATCATAAAAGAACTGATTTTGGTTTTAAAATTAAAAATATACTTGAGCTTTAAAACGTGTTTTCAAGTCTTTAAAATCATTCAAAAGTTCGAATTCTCAAATCTTTTCTCTTTGAAACATTTTCTCTTCCACGAGTGACTATGCAAGAGTCAAAAAATTGAAACTATTTGAAAAAGTTCTTCACATTCAACTCTTCTTATTGATTTTTAAATCACCTTTGCAAATACAAGTCTCTTAAAGAAGAATCGATTTTGTGCACAAAGAATCAACATCTTTTTTCAAAACCTCGATTTTCTACACCAAACCTTTAGAATAGAATTAACCTTATGAGAAATTTGCACTAAAAAGATCAAGAGAAGAAAAAGGAAAAGCTCCAACAACATTTTCCAAAACTTTGAGATCTGAGAAACTCGATCTCGTCAACATCAATTTTACAAATAGAGCAAAAAGAAATATATTTGATGTGGACTACTCCAAAAGAAAGGTAATTCATGTAAGAATTATAAACTTGGAATGGTTTGAGAAAGAATATAATTTGTTGTATATTGAAAATCTTAAGAAAATGGGATGGTATAGATATGTATGTCTAAAGAGGGTAGTTTATCAAAAATTAGTTCAAGTGTTTTATTCAAATGCAACCACTGAATATCAAGGAGATGTTGATAAAGATATCAGGGGCCATAACGATTCAATTGTTACTTTGGTTAATGGAAAAGAGATCATCATCACACCAACTTTGTTGCAAAAATTGTTGAAGTTGAAACCTATCAAAAGAGATTCTATCATTCAAATTAATGAAGACACCAAAATCTTATAAGATCAACTAGAAGTTGAGTTCTTGATTGGTCCAATCACTTTAATGATGAATACAAAGAGCATTACCAAGACTTAATGCAAATGACAAAATTTTGCATTTCATAGTCACATAAACACTAAAACCATTCAATCACAAGAGTAATACAGTGACAGCTAAATACATGTGGTTCATGCATCATATCAAGAGATGTACTCCAATTGATCTAGCATATTTCATTTACAAAGATATAGAATTAATAGCCAGAGGAGGAAGAAACAATCTACCTTATGGAATAGTCATCTTAAAGATTTTAGACAAGATGAAAGTCGATATTTCACTGAACAAACAAGTAATGGTTAAGAAAGTCAATAATCTTGATCAAAAGGCAATTGGAAAACTTCATTTTGAATATGATGTTATCAACAATGAATGGATGAGGAAAAATATTTAGCATAAAGATAAAATTGAAAGAAAAGAAGCACAAGCAGTAGGTTAAAAAGAAAAGTCTGATAAAGTTCACTCAAAAACAATTTTTGATATATTTGATTTACTAATGGATTCTTCATTTCCTTATAAACCTCCTCCAAGGGCATATGAAGGTCCATTTGGATTACCCAGTACGAAATACATGCTTGAAGGTGCACATTAGTTCTTCTATGCTGAGATGGATAGTTAAGAGAGAAGTTGGTTAAAAAAGTTTGATGAAACCAACAAAAAGGTTGATGCAATAATGGAGAACTACACCTAAAATCTTGAACAGATGATTGATTTGTGCATTGTTTCCTTCATGAAACTAGACAAACATATGCTTAAACTCCGAAACAGATTGGCTCAAATATCCAAAAACCAATGAAAATTGTCTTAAAATAAAAAATTTTATATGACAAACTTAAAAAACCATAACTCTAACTCAAGTTTTGACTCTAATCCTCCTTTGAAACCTTAAAAGCATTTCCATTACACAACATTTGCATATATTTTGTTTTGTACTAACATGATTGTATTACAAATGATACTTTGTGTATTCTTTACTTAATGAAATATCTCTTTTGATCGCATTTCTTTGTGTTGGCTCATGATTGATTGAACTCTCTTGCTATGAATGTCTATATACTCTTTCCTTAAATGATGTTTAATCTATACCTAAACTTTTGCTACTAATGTTGCATTTTCTCTATGAGTTGTATATTGTTTATAATCAATTTTCTACTCTTTTTTTATATAATAAAAAAGGAGAGAGTATTGTGAGTAAATTTGTCTAGCTTTACTTCTCTAAATCTCATGGCTGGATTTTTCAAAATGATTTAGTTAAATATAAATCTTTTTGAAAAGAGCACAGATTTGGGGGGAGCTTTACTTGAGAAAAATATTTTCAATTCTTTTACCCTAGTTCTGAAATGTTTTGAAATTTAGAGCACAATTTCAAGGGAAGTTTTTCAATGATCAAATTTAGCTCTTAATTTTGTCATATCAAAAAAGAAGAGGTTAGTTTTATTCTTGTTTTAAAATGACAAAATTCATTGAACTAAATATGCTTTGAAAATGATTGAAAAATGTTCTTGAATATGAAGAAAATTCCCAAAGATATTTTAAAGATAAGCTTAAACAGAAAAACATATTTAAATGCTAAGATTGATTGAACATGGTTTGAAAGTGAATGATAATGTGTTTAGAGTTAAAGAAGTGTTTCTAAGTTTTCCTAAAGATTTCTTGTTTTCAAACATAAAGTGCCAACCTAAGAATTGAATTCTTCAAAACAAAGATTTGATTATTAAATGAGATAAAAGATAAATTTATTATTTTTAATCAATTTTAAAGATGGGAGAAGTCAATTCTTAAAGCAAACAGAAGTTTTAGAAATTGGGAAGAACCAACACCTCAAAGAGCAAAAATCGATTCTAAGAGAACATAATGTAGAAGGTAGAAATGTGAACAAGGAAGAATCAATTCTCTAAGTAGCAAAAGTCGATTTTGTGTGAAGAATGAACCAAAGAGCACAAGTCTAAAAAAAAAATCAATTTTACATGGAGAAGATATTGGTTCTTGAAGTACCAAAAGCAAAGATCAGAAACTTAGTGACCAAGAAAGAGATGGGGCAAATGGATAAAATAAGAGTATCAAAGTTAAGATGAAATTCAAATTTTGGTTCCAATCAATAGTGGAAGAACTGAAATCTTTAAAAAGAAGAATCGATTCCCTTAGTGACAGAAAGCTCCAGATTTTATGAAGAATCAATTACTCATGATCAAAGAATCGATTCTCCATGTGCAACAAAAATGTGCAAGCTAACTAAAACGTACGAAAGTTGATTCAAAATTCACTCCAATGAGCAAGAAATCACAAGACCTATAAATATCTATCTTGAGAACGTTAAATAAGAGAACTTGAATGATTTGAATCATCTTTGAAGAGCGAAAGAGAGGAAAAACAATTAAAATGGCTGTGAGCATAAAATTCATTTCTTTGAGAAAGGGCAGAACATAAAGATCACATTTTTATCCTTCAGCTAATACTTCTTGAGCTTAAATCTTCTTTCATTATTCATTTCTTTTCAAAAAACTCTAATCTTTTGAGTCTAAACGTCTTTACTAACCTTTATAAAGGTTTTAAGCTAGAGGCACTTAAGAATCCACTATTGTATTGGTTATACCTCCAAGCAAAAGGTAAAAGGTTTTTCTTTATCCTTTAAAAGGCTATATCTTGTGTAAAGGTAGTGTTATGGTTAAGGTTATGCCTGATCCTATTAAGAGACATGTTATAAAGGTTATACTTGATCCTGTTAAAAGGCAAGTTGTAAAAGTTATATCTGACTTTGTTGAAAAGGCAAGTTAATAATAGATTTGAACTCCTTGTGTTATCAAAGGAAGGGACATAAGCATTGAAAGGCTGAATCTCTATAAAAATTTGGCTGAGTACTCTTACCTTTTCACACTTTACTTAATTGTTTCATACTCTACTTTTTTTATTCTAATTCTTATATTTCTACTACACTTTCAAAGTTACTTTAAAAAAAGGAAACTTTTAATTTACAACCAATTCTCCCCCTCTTGATTACTTTTACTTTAAGCTTATCTTCCTAACATAAAGGACATGGACTAAATTGACTAATTTTTAGTTGAAAGACTTCCTAGATAGTTTGATGGTCAATTACTTGTTACATATTTACTAGATTATTCATGACTTTTTAGATTTTATCTTTTTATCTTAACTTACAAAAGGTATAATGATAAAATAACATCGTTTTCGTTTTCGTTTATTTTATTTTTTGACTCTACCAAACAATTCATAGAAAAAATAGTTAATGAAATGAATAGTATTTTTTTCATCTTTTTTACCAAGCATGATAATGAATACATTATACCAAGCATAATATATATATATATAATGCCAAAATCTAGTATTAATTCTAATACTTAAAATTATAGAATTAAATTAATTTATTATTTAGAATTAATACATTTTAAAATGACTTCATTGTCAAACTGTTTAACGTTTTGGATGAGTTAATTCTTTAAAGTTTAATATACTTCATCTGGATACGTCCATGACTTAGTGGGCAGCAGCGTAGAACGTAGGCCCATCAAGGCTTTTTTTTTTTTTTCAATTATTACTAAATAAAATCCACCTGTAGCATTTTATCTATTGTTTCCGTGGTGTGTAGAAAGAAAAAGAGCATTTATCAGGCTTATCCAATACCAAAGGACTAATGTTTTAGAGAGTTGCAAGGTAATGGCTCTCCTCAGCTTTAATACGTTTCCATGTCTATCTACTTCCCCAGTTTCTTCTTGCGCAGCATCCTTGCCCATCGCTGTTTCACCAAGTAAGTCCCTCTCTCTTTGAACTTGATCTTCTCTGGGGCTTTTCATCGAACTACCTGTTGACATTGTGATGCCTTCGATGATTCACTGTAAATGTAACGTACACATTCTTGGCTTCATTCTTCAAAGACGGAAAATGTTTGAAAACTTTGTGTTGGGTGTCAGTTTCCAGGATGCGGCTAAAAGCAGTTGATCATCCTCCCTCGAAATGTCTAATTCGTACACAGTTTCTCCCCAACAAGAAAAGATTTGTGATGACTGTAAAAGCATCTGCTGCAAGTACCGGTGGCGAGCCTCGGCCTCCCTCGGAAAGCAAGAAGGAAGCTTTGCCAGTGGAACAGCTGCCGTTAGAGTCAGAGTCCAAGGCGCAGCAGATGATGGAGCAGAAGATGAGGATGAAGCTGGCCAAGAAAATAAGGCTTCGTAGAAAGCGGCTTCTTCGCAAGAGGAAGATGAGGAAGAAGGGGCGATGGCCACCTTCTAAGATGAAAAAATTAAAGAATGTATGACCTTAGCTTGCTTTTGTGCTCACCCTTTTGCTTTCTCTTTTCAACTTCTTCGTTTTTATTAGTAGATCATGTTTCTTCTTTTGATGGCCTCGGTGAATGTGCTGATATTCAATTTCTTCGGAAATTAAAAGATACATGGTCTAAGACTCCAGAGTTGTGATTCTCTGTTTGATTTTGCTATCCTCTTATGCGAATCATGCCAATTACACATGGCTTTGATTCTTAGACGCATCAAGTTCAGAGGAAGCATATGATACTCCTGTTACGTTAGTGACTTCACATGCTTTCAGCTTGAAAATCTGCAGCCCATGACACAATATTCCGTTTTAGTGCCCTCTAACTATAGACTCCTTTTGAGGCGAAAGAAAATGCAGGTATTTCTGCAGCAGTGGAAGTTGATTCATTCCTCTGAAATCTTTGGGTAGCAAAAGCCAAAAGCTGATTTTCGAGATACAGCTACAGCTTATGCGGTATGGTTGTGTTTGAGGCATTAGACAGAATTAGCTGTGATCACAGGATTGGATGTTTGATTTTAAAGGTACTATTTCATGTTGGCAGGGATTGTTGTTTAACAAGATCTAATCCAGGAGAAAAAAACAAGTTATTTTTGTGGTTCAGTGGCGTTGCAGGAAAATGTCAACGGAGAAGGGTAGTGGCAGAAAAACTATCTAAGAATTGACACCATGGAAGATGGTATTTGTGAAGAAGAAACATGTTAGCATAGGTTAGGTTAGTTGCTTCTTTTGTTATTGCTTTTTGTGTTTCTTTTTTTCCCTAAAAAAAATGACATAATATTTTCAAAAGTTTTTGAAATATTCAAAATAATTTAAATAAGGTTTTTTTTTTGTGTTTGATTAATTTTTTATATTTTTATTTTGAGTCAAATAAGTTATTATGATTAATGGTTAACTAACCGTCATTAGTAAAAAGTATCACTTGTTGTTTTTTATTTATGTAACGTTGACGTAAAAAGTGAAAAATAATATGTGATAATGTTATCATTTCACATTAACATGTTATGCTATGTCATCTTCTATTATGGCATTTCAGTATCCAATGTCAACATCACGTAGAATAAAATAATAAATAATATTTTAACTAATAGTAATTAATTAATCGTTAATCATTAGAACTTATTTTGTTCAAAATAAACAAATAAAGGTTTAATTGAATGTAATAAAAATATAAAAAAAAATTTGAATAGTTCGTGATTTTTTTAGATATTCACTAAAAAATAAATAAAGAACAAAAAATAAAAAAAATAAAAGGTAAATAAGGGAAAGTAAAAGTATCAAAGTAAATGAAAATTTATTTGTTCAATATAAAATTAATATTAGAAAGTAGGGATATGGAGAAAACAAAAAGTGATAAGAAGTTATCTTTTCTTAAACATTGGGTTTCGTTAGCTTTGCCTTTGTCCTTTCTGGCTGTTGAGGGTGATATGCTCACCTCTTCTTCAAGGTATTATTGTGTCGCAAACCACAAACTCTCCATATTAAGAAAAGCCATTCAAACAATTGACAAAACTTAGCAAGAATTTAAAACTTTTCCTTGAAGTAAGATCATCTTTGGTTTGCATCCATTTTAGATTTATGGCCTTTAGTTATTTTTCAAAATCAATGTCCAACTTGCTTCCTCATAAGCAGGAGGTTTATGATCAATGAGCAATAAATCCTTGTTAATGACAAATCCATGTCATTTTAGAGCTTAGTGTATCTTAATAAATTGTCAAAGTTTTTATGTAAATTGAACTTTAGTTGCGCATATGATGCACAAATCATGGGCTTAAGTTCTTATGGAATTTGTGATTCTTGAACCTTTTCTTGAATTATTTTACTTTGATTGCTTCTTTCAAGTAGTTACTTTTTCTAAGAAAGTAGTATGTCTTGAGACAAAAACTTTTTACTCAACAGAGTTCTAAAACTAATATCCAAAAGATTCCTTTGGATATCCCAGAGACATGCATTTTACTTATTAGCCCTAAGCTTGATAGGTTGTGCATGCTTCACATAAGCAATGCATCCCTAAATCTTCAAGTAGAATAAATTTGGCCTCTTGGCTTTCCATATCTTATATGGGATATTGTTTATTGATTTGGTTGAAACTTTATTTAGAAGGTTAATGGTAGTTTCAAGTGCATATGCCCAAAACAAAGTACGAAGGTCTACCTTTCTCATCATGGATCGAAGCATGTCTAATAAGATTTGATTTCTTTTCTCTTAAATGTTGTTGTGTTGTTGGTGTTTATGGAGGAATCGAATGAGAAAGAATTCCATTTTCTTTAAAATTGTCAATAAACTCTTAGCTAAGATATTCTCCACCTTGATCTAATTGAATAATAAGAATATTCTTATCAACTATACATAACCATACCTAGAATGGTCATCGATAAAAGTGATGAAATAAAAGTATCTTCCTCTAACATATTTTCCTTTAAAAGGTGATTTGGTCATTTTTCTAAAGAGAAAATATTCACAAGTTTCAAGTTTCATTTTATTTATAATCAAAAGGATCTAAGTATCCTTTTTGTAACTTTGTGATTCTCTTCTTATTTGAATTTGGATCATCCAATTTCAATTTATTTACATTTATGTTGAGTATTGTTCTTTCTAGTTTAAGAATGTATAATACTATTTGCATAGTTTGTATTACTATAAAATACATTATCTAAGTAAAAAAGAACAATAATTACCTTTTATTTGAAATTTCAAATAATCATTTACTACTAAATATGAAATCGAAATAATGTTTCTCGAAAGAGCTGAAACATTTAATATTCTTTAAGTTCCTATATTAAACTCGAAGGTAAAGGTAAATGACAAGTCCCTATGGCTAACATCACAACCTTTATCCCGTTTTTGACTTGTACGACAACTTCACCTTTAATCAATTTTCCATTATTCTTTAGTTCCTTCATGTTGTTACACAAGTAAGAACCATATCTAGTATCAAATAGAAAGATATTCAAGCAATAATAGAAAGGTTTAACTCAAATCATAAACATTTTTGAAGTCGAGATTTTAATGAGCTTATTCTCCTTTAAGCTTGCCAAGTAAACTTGCAATTCTATTTCCAATGACCATTTTGCCACTATAATGGGAAGTGCCTTTGTCGTTGTCTTTTTCTTCAAGGCATTTTAATCATATTAGCCAACATTGTACATATGGTTTTATCATTATCATCCTTATCTACCTATAAGTAAAAAGAAGCCCTAATAAAGCTTCCAAGCTTGGTCACATTTTTTGCCTTTTTAAGTGCCATGTCTTGGGCGCTTTTGATTGACACGTGAAAATTTAGTTGGTGTCTTTCTTTTGCATTTGGAGAGATAAAAAAAAAAAAGCAAGATCTTGTCTTGGGAAAGAAAAAGCTTCTAGCCTTGATAGTGTCTTTGTGTCAGACGTTGGGTTTCACGTGGACAATTTTGGTTAATGTGTTTTTTTTTTACATTTAAAGGGAAAAAAATGTAGGACGCTGTCTTAGGAAAAAAACATGTGGCTTTGCCTTGGTTTTCCAATCTTTTGCCTGCGTGTCTCCAATGGTTTTATTCCATCTAAGTATTTTTAGAAGTGCTGTTTTTTTTTTTTGTGGCCATAGTATGCTTGATGGTTTAGCTTATCAAGAAGTGGATTTAACCAATTTCCTTTGTACAGTCTAATACGTGTGTGATTGATATGGGTGTCTTGTTTTTTTGGCCTCTCAATGCAGTGCTATCTTCTTTAGGTTTTTAATTCATTTTATCCTTTAGAATTATTGACTTGGCTGAGAGAATTTTTTCCTTTTCCAATATTTTGTTCTATCATATTTTGCTTTCCGTTGTTTGATATTGCTTTCTTTGCTTGATTCTTCGTGCTTTTTTTTCTTTTTTCAAGGTTCTTTTTTCAAAGATCATTTTTTCGCACGTGTATTGTTTATAGATTTTTGTTTTGGGTGTGTATTTGAAATTGAACTGTGAGAAAATTAGTTTTATTGTGTTTTAAGTTTGCTGGTTTGTGTTTAATTGTGGTTTTGCTTTCAAAGGTTATTGTTTGGCACTTTTATTGTTTATATGTTTATTTTGAGTGTGTATTTAAAACTATATTGCTAGCAAATTAGTTGTTGTGTTTTGAATTTCTTAGTTTGTGTTTCGGAACAATAGATTCTTATTGTTTTTCTTAAGGTATAGACAAATCATTTCTTGTTATTGTGTTTATGAGAAAAATATAAAAAAAGAGAAGAGTGTAGGATTTTGTGATTGGTTTCTTTATAGTGCCTAACAAATCAAGGTGTTCATCTTGCTTGCTATGGAGTGTTGTCTACTAAGTTTGGCTTCCATAAAATTGAAAACATTTAATAAACTTTTAGTTAGCATATATGGAAGATTTTTGTGGTAGTTATCAAGTTTAGTTTGGTTATATGGGTTTTTATGTAAATAATAAAGTAAGCTGAGCTCAATGGCTAATTTGTAGGCTATGATGCAACTATTGAACTCTAAGTGTTTATGGAAACTGGTGTCTTGTAGAGTAGGAAAATCTTTCTTTTTCTTTTGGGTTCTCAAAGAACCTTAGCAAGTGACACTAAATCTAATCCCAAAATAGAAAGTAAGGAGCATTGTAATACAATCACCCTTAGGAGTGGCAAATAAATGAAAGGTAATAGTAAGTAAGCAAATTCACCAAGTAAGTTTATTGAAAAGGAAACAATAGTTGAGAATTCTGATGCATAAGCTCAAGGGGAAAAAGCCAAGCCTGGCCCACCATCGCCACCCTTTCTTCAATGATTTTAGAAGCCAAATTTGACAAGCAGTTCCAAAACTTTCTTGAGATATTCGAAAAGCTTTAGATCAATATCTTTTTTATTGAAGCTTTGGAACAGATGCCAAGCTATGTTAAGTTCCTAAGAGACATCTTGATTAAGAAGAGGAAATTAGAAGATTTTAAGACAGTTGTACTTACTAAGAAATGCAGTGCCACAATCCTAAATAAGCTTTCACCAAAGCTTAAGGATCCAAGGAGTTTTTCTATCCCTTGTACTATTGGCAGTTTTAAATTTTCTAAATATTTGTGTGATTTGGGTGTTAGTGTTTCAATTATGCCCATGTCTACTACAAGAAAACTTGGACTTAAAAAGATATAACCTATTACAGTTTCTTATAGTTAGCAGACAGAACAATTA